GTTTGGTGGTTTCCTGCCATAAGTCTCCCTACATGATCTGTATGTTCTCAATTGTACCTCCCTTTCCAAACTTGTCCATTGCTACCTCACTTAAGCTTGGGATAGTCCAGGTATACCAGCCTCTCTCATGTTTCTTGATCCTGCCTAAGTTTTTCTACCTCAGGGTTTTTTTTGTTGTTGTTGTTTGTTTGTTTTAAGATTTTATTTATCTTTAGAGGGGAAGGAGAGAGGGAGAGAAACATGAATGTATGGTTGCCTCTAGTGCATCTCCTGCTGGGAACTGGCCTGCAACCCAGGCATGTGCCCTGACTGGAAATTGAACCATGATCCTCTGGTCTGCAGACCTGTGCTCAATCCACTGAGCTACACCAGCCAAGTATCTCAAGTTTTTTTTTGCAATGGCTTCTAGGTGTACCTCTTCTAGGAATGTTCTTCATGCAGTTATTTGCATAATATTGCTCATTCTTATCCTGTGATGTCAGTTTAACTTTTCTTGTAGATGACTACTTGATGTAAGACTGACCTACCACTACTCTACCACCTCTTTCCTATCATTTTTCACATTCTTTAACTTTCTTTTTTGCTTACCAGTTGAGTCTCTTTCTCTCTTGTTACTAGAATGACTGTTCCATGCAGAGAGAATATATTAGTCACTTTAAAAGTCGCACTAAAGTGACTAATGTATTCTAATATTCTAATATAATATTCAAATGTATTCCCAAACACCAGCCCATTTCATATTTGTTAGATGAATGGATCCAGTCTCTTAATCTTTTTTTGTTCTATTTCAGTCACAGTGTGGTTTTCTTTCTTCTCTCCCCACTTTTCAAGATCCTATTGGGAAAGAAGCCCAAGCAATACTTACTCAGGATAAACTGTCTATGTTGTTTCTACAGTAGTTGTTTTTCCTTTTGCTGTTTTATAATATTAGCATAGGATACATTTCCATAGGCACATTTCTCTTAGACTGAGATCTTGTAAGAGCTAGACCAAACCCTGGCATTTTTGTATCAAAATTTCCCCCTACAATTATCATGGATGTTTTTATTATTATTTTTCCTACAAGAACTATGGGAGAGTGATCATACACAATGGCACCCAGAAAAGCAAAGTGAGATTAAAACTTTGGAATGATATCAACAAAGTTATGCACTTGCAAATAATTTTGATTTATGCAAAAGTCTTGTTTCTTAAATGGCAAGACACATTAAGTTTGGCTCACATTGTAAACATTCGAAGTCATGTTTAGGTTTTGTTAACCAGAAGAGAAGATATGCAGGAAAGAATTCTGATGAGTTTATTGACTATGGGAAACCATCTCTCTACATCCAGCGTGATGAAACTTGTACTGAAATTAAATACCATGGATGTGTTAAACCCAGTAGCACTAAGTCACAGCTCAGTGACCATTAAATAACTTACCCAGGAGGGAAACCACATGAATGCAGTGAGTGCGGGAAAGTCTTCACCAGGAAGGCACAGCTCATTAGACATCAGAAAACAAAAAGAGGAGAGAAACCTCATGGATGCAGTGAATGCAGGAAAACATTCATGAGGAAGATTCAGTTCACCGAACATCAGAGAACTCACACAGGAGAGAGACTCCATGAATGTAAGGAGTGTAAAAAAGCTTTTGCCAGAAAGTCACAGCTTATGGTACATCAGAGAACTCATACAGGAGAGAAACCCTATGTGTGCAGTGAATGTGGGAAAGAAAGCCTTTAGCCAGAAGTGCCTGCTCAGTAGACATCAGTGATCTCATACTGGAGAGAAACTACGGATGCAGTGTCTTTGGGAAAGCCTTTTCCCAGAAGGCATACCTCATCACACACCACAGACTTCACATAGGAGAGAAGCCTTATAAGTCCTTATAAGTGCAGTGAATGTGGAAAAACTTTCTTTTTTAAGTCAGACCTGACCAAACACCAGAGAATTCACACTGGAGAGAAACCTTATGAATGAGCGCAGTCAGTGTGAAAAAGCCTTCAGAAGCAAGTCAAAGCTCATTCAGCACCAGCGAACTCATAGCAGAGAGAGACCATATGCATGCACTGAATGTGGCAAAGCCTTTGCCCACATGTTGGTCCTCATTAAACATAAGAAAACTCATACAAGAGATAGAGCTGCAAATTCACTGATGGTGGTGAAAGCCTCCTCAGGGAGTCATAGCTCTTTATACATAAGTGAACTCTTATAAGAGCAGAACTCTATGAACACAGTGCCTGTGGAAATGTCTTCAGGAACTCAGCCCTTACTAAGCATTGGTAAACTTTTAGGGAATAGAAGTGTGATTGTGTTTCCAAGAAGTCAAGCCTTAGTAGATAATCAGGAATTTGCACAGGGAATAAGCCTTGCAAATGCAGTGACTGTGACCACACCTTCAGTAATAAATTATGCCTTTTATGTTACAGATATTGTGTAGGAAAAAGTCCTCTAGTACCAGAATGTGGAAAAGCCTCTAGCAAGAATTCTGCACATGTTATATGTCAGAGCTCACTTAGGACAGGAATGATACAAGTGCAGTGGTTGTAGAGGACACTTCTATGAGCAGTTAGATTTACAATGTCAGTGAAATCATTTTGGGCAGAAATGCAGTGATTGTGAGGAAGCCTTTGCCTGGAGGTGGTAATAACAGTTGCTTTCAGTGAATTCTCACAGGTCCAAACCCTTAGGAAAGAATGTGATGGTTTTCAGTGATAAATTGTACCTCTTCACATGTCAGAGAATCATAAAAAGAGAACTCTAGAGATGTTGGAGGTGGAAAAAATTTTTAGTAAGATGTGGAAGAACTCAAGGAAAAAATCATGAAAGCAATAAAAGGTGGAAATTCTAACACCAAAGTAACCCCTGCATCACAATTTTATACATTAGGACTCTGGGAAAGACTTCTCTATTAAATGAAATCTCAGACACAGGAATTGCATTATGTAGTGAAAAATCTATGAATATAATGAAAGTAGAAGTACAACTGTATTAGTTTCTTATGACTGCTATAACAAATTACCACAAATGTGGTGGCTAAGAACAATACAGATTTATTATCTTACAGTGCTGGAGGTCTACAGTCCAAAATGCATCTCACTAGGCTAAAAGCAAGGTATTGGCAGGGTTGCATGTCATTTTGGAGGCTCTAGGAAAGGATCTGTTTCTTTGTTCTTCCAGCTCCTAAAAGCTGCCCAAATTCCTTGGCTTGTTTTATGACTCTAATACTGATTCTTCTCCTCTTCTCTTCCACATTTAAGGACCCTTGTGATCACATTGGGTCCACCCAGGTAATCCAGGATAATGTCCCCACCTTATGATAAGTTAATTAGCAAATTTAACTCCACCTGCTACCTTGATTTTTCTTTGCCTTACAACTTGACCTATTCACCAGTTTTGGAAATCAGGATGTGGACCCTCTGGCCCCCAGTGATTCACGTCCATCCCACATGTAAGATATATCCACCCTTTCCCAACATCTCCAAATGTTTTTAAAATATATTTTATTGATTATGACATTACAGTTGTCCTATTCCCCCCCATTCCCCTCCACCCTGCACACCTGTGCTCCACCATTCCCCCCTTTTGTTTATGTTTGTGTCACAAGTTCTTTAGATTCTGTATTTCCCATACTATTCTTGCCCTCCCCCTGTCTATTTTCTACCTACCGTCTATGCTATTCTCTGTATCTTCTCCTCACCTTGTCCTCCTCCCGCTCCCCTGTTCCTAACCCTCCTTGTGATCTCCATTTCTATGTTTCCACTCCTGATCTAGCTGTCCTTTTAGTTTGCTTTTGTTTTAGGTGTGGTTGTTAATAATTGTGAGTTTTCTGTCCTTTCACTGTTCATCTTTTTTATCTTCTTTTTCTTAGATAAGTCCCTTTAACATTTCATATAACAAGGGCTTGGTGATGATGAACTCCTTGAATTTGATCTTATCTGAGAAGCACTTTATCTGCCCTTCCATTCTAAATGAAAGCATTGCTGGATAGAGCAATCTTTGGATTTCATGACTTGGAACACTTCTTTCCAGCCCCTTCTTGCTTGTAAGGTCTCTTTTGTGGAATCCGCTGACAGTCTGATGGGAACTCCTTTGTAGGTAGGTGACTGTCCCCTTATGTTTTGCTGCTTCTAGGATTCTCTCCTTCATCTTAATCTTGGCTAATATAATGATGATGTGCCTTGGTGTGTTCCTTCTTGGGTCCAACTTGTTTGGGACTCTGAGCTTCCTGGATTTCCTGGAAGTCTATTTCCTTTGCCAGAATGGGGAAGTTCTCCTTTATTATTTGTTCAAATAAGTGTTCCACTTGTGGCTGTTCCTCTTCCCCTTCTGATACCCCTATAATTCGGATGTTGGAACATTTAAGGATGTCCTGGAGGTTCCTAAGCCTCTCCTCATGTTTTTGAATTCTTGTTTCTTCATTCTTTTCTGTTTGGTCATTTTTATCATCCTTCTAGTCCACTCCACTGATTTGAGTCCTAGTTTCCTTTCCATCACCATTGGTTTCCTGTGCATTTCCCTTCATTTCAATTAGTTTAGCCTTCATTTGTTCCTCTAAAATGTGACTAAAATCAACCAGTTCTGTGAGCATTCTGATCACCAGTGTTTTGAACTGTGCATCTGAAAGGTTGGCTATTTCTTGGTTGCTTAGAATTATTGGCTCTGGGGCTTTGAGCTGTTCTTGAGCCATAATGTTTTGGTTTGTTCGCAGCTGTTACATATGAGGGGCAGAGCCTTAGATGTTCAGCAGGGCGGGTTGACCCAGTTGCTGGGTTGTGATGCTGTATGTGGGGGTGGAGTCAGGGAGGAGCAATAGCATTTGTTCCCCTCTCTCTCAGATTTCTGTCCCCTCTGCCACTTCCCACAAGCAAATTGGGCCCTTCTGGTGCTGGTTCCTGGGTGTGTGGGCTTGTGTACCCTACAGGACCCTGTGAGTCTCTCCAACGAACTCTCCCAGCACCTCGACCCCAAAAGTCTTTCCAACTGGTGCTTTCAGGCTCTAATTCCCATCACTGGGGCCTTAGCCTGAGCAGTGTCTCTCACTGTTTGCTCCTTTGCTTGGTTTATCTGCGCTCAAATGTGTGACTGCAGTTAGCCAGCCACCCTGCACCCTCACTGGGTCCACCCATTGCCACCCCACGCCTGGGATCTGCCAACTGCCACCTGCGCTCCTGGGTGGGTCCACCAACCTTTCCTGCCCAACCCCACTCTGCCGCTGACTCCGCCCCTCTTACCAGTCTGGTTGAATGGTTTGTTGTCATCGGACTTCCATATAGTTCAATTTTAAGTGTTTTGGCTGCATTTTTGTTACTAAAACTTTGTTGTCTTTAAACTTGGTTGTGCAAGGAGGCACAGTGATTCCACCTACGCCTCCATCTTGGCTGGAAGTCTCCTCCAAATGTCTTAATCCATCACAGCACCAACTCACCAGAATCTCAACCAAATCTTACCAGCTCAGAAGTGCCAAATCTCATCATGTAAATCAGTATCTGCAAGGGCTCTAGGTACAACCCATGGTGAGGCATAATTTTATGTGAACCTGTGAAATTCAAGAAATAATTGTATAGTCCCAAAATATTTTATTTCATTTTGTACTTCCATTCCCTTTGTTACTAAATGTAACATATTTGCCCTGACTGGTGTGCTTCGTTGGGTGTTATCTGGTAGACCAGAAGGTTGTGGCTGGATTCCTGGTTGGGGCACATGTGTGGATTGCAAACCAGGTCCCTGGCCGGGGGCATACAAGAGGCAGCCCATCAATGTGTGTCTCACACATGGAGGTTTCCCTCTCTCCCTCCTTCCTTTTCCCTCTCCCTAAAATAAATAAAATCTTTTTAAAATATTAAAAAGTAAATATAAACATATTTACAGATTCTGGGGATTAGGACATGCACATCTTTGGGAGGTCATTCTGCTTACCACAAAAACATTAGATTTCATAGAATTCACACTGAAATAAATTCTTGGCTATTGGGAACTGTCCTCCCTAGTTTCAGAAGCTGTAACCCCACTCACTATAGCTAAGGCTGAGTAAGCGACCTTTGGACCACAAGCCACTAAAGAGACAAAGCTTACCTCTCTGGCAGGGGCGTGGCTTCTCATCCTTTTAATTCACCCTTCCTGGCCTCTAATGCTTGATTGGTTAGCCAACGATGGGTAAGATTCCCCAAGGGGGTAATGACCTAAGATAGGCATGATCACAGGGAGGCCCTAGGGAAGGTCTTGGGGGGCTACAGCAAAAGAGGGTGATGAACCCTCACCCCTTGGCTTTAACATAGCCTGAGTCCTCATTCTGTCTGTGAGAAGTCTTCTAATCTTTTGGCTGCCTTACTTCCCCTGCCTGACTTAAGCCTGAAACAATGACAGAGGGCGGTGCAGCCCTATGCTGGAAAGGGTGGGTTCCCCTGGTGTTCAGGCTTAAGAAAGAATACATAAACTTCTGTGAAACCTGCTTTGCTAAAATGCTCTCAATTAAATGGGTCCAAGCAGGAAATGAGTTTGTTTTCCAAAGTTTTGTAGCCCTTTAGCTAACAGACACTCGGAATAGGCCCTCAGAGTTCTTTGTATATTATCTATTGTTTGATCCTTACTGCCTGACAATGATTAATGAGCTTTACCTATATTCTTGTGCAAAATAAACTCAATTAAAGCCCATTGAGGAAAAGGCTCTTGGCCCTTCTCCTTTGAGAGATTGGCCACCTTTCCTCCCCTAGCCATTTAATGGCTAGGCAGGTGTAGGGGGGCTCTGCCTCCCCAGGCAGATCATGTCTTGGTAGACTTATTCTCATCTGTGGTGGCCGGGGGAGGGGGGTCCCTGCAGGCACAGCCCCCTACACCTGCCTAGCCATTAAATTTGGAAAAGCATGTTCCCAGAGAAGCAGTTGTCTATAGTGATGATGATCTAAGTACATTAACATACTTCTGTAGTATGAGAATTTTACACTGATTGTTAGGGTTACATGGAATGCTCTTGAAATGTATACATCAAATTATCAGTGCCAGAAAAGAACTCTTAAGTATCCCAAAGGAACATGAGAGTTATGCTGCTGGGAATGTTGCCAAACATAAGAGGGGAGACCAAAAAAAAAAAAAAAAAAAAACCCTCAGAACTTACTTAGAAAAAGTTGTGTATTTACTTTCATATGTTTAAATTTCAGTCACCTTCAAAGTACTCTTCATTTGATGTAATATACATATTGAGATGTTTTCTACACTTCTCAAAACAGTTTTTGAACTTGTTGATTTTGATGACTTTTAGTACTGCTGCCATTTTTTTGTTTCACCTCTTCTACATTAGCAAACTATTTCCCTTTGAGAACTATTTTTTTAAATTTAATTGTTGTTCAAGTACAGTTTTCTATCTTTTACTCCCATCCCAGCCCACCCCTCCCAAGGACTATTTTCATCTGAGGAAACAGAAGTTGCTCAGGGTAAGATCAAGTGAATAGGGAGGGTGGGGCACGGAAGTCATGCCATTTTTGGTGAGAACTGTTGAACACTCAGTGTGGTGTGGGCATGTGTGTTTGTAAATCACCCATCGTGAAATGGGCAAATGCATTGAAAAAGTCTTAAAAAAAATCACTGAAGCCAAACGCAGCCTCTCACAACAATGCCATCTGGTACACTGATATTGATGGGTTCCTAGAACACTCAACTAGTGGGAGAAGCATCTACTATAATGGGCCTGCTCTTCAGAAGATAATTCCTTTTTGGTGGGGTGTGGGGGGTCCCCTCTCGTATGTTTGCATCTACTATGAAATTCTACAAATTAACATATTCTATGATGAACATGGAATGCCTACACCACAATGAATCTACATACTGGCCAGTATTTTTTAACAGCCAAGTCCAACAACTTTAACAGTAAGTTTCAGGTGTATACCCTTCACCTGTTTTTTTTTTCTAGATAACTAAAAATAAAGCACACACAATATATTAATTGACTATTTTCAGGCATTAGGTATTATAGAGCCCAGGACAGCTGTCACCAAGAGAAGGGGAATAAATGCAGTGAGCCTTTTCATTGTCCCAGCTTACTGCCTGCAAAGAGATTTCATTCTGTAGCATAAGGAGGAGAAACCCAAACAGATCCCATCAGTCTCCCTGAATTGAGATGGCGTTCAGAGTACAGAGAATGCAAGATGGCTTAAATTCATGGGGCTCATTACAGCAGAGGAGAGAACTGCACCCAGAGCACGAAAGTCTGAGCGTTCTGCAGTTCCCCAGATTTTTAAGTTGCAGTCAGCACATGTATGTGAGGAAACTCCCTAGGCTGGAGAAATAACTGCTAAAATTAACAGCCAGAACCATCCTTGGAGCTTGCACAAAGTTGAGAACAATTTGTGTTTCCACCAGCTGGAATTGAAACACCTGACATTTGGAGAGTCACAGTGGAACATCAGATTGCCTCAGTGGGTGGTTCAAATTAGATCTTTTCTAAAGGATGCCTATAAACCCTCTTAACAAAGCATAAATGCAAGCCACTAAAGGACTTGTATCTACATAATATAACTGCCTTCAAGAACAAAGCCAGACTAGAAAGCATCCATGGTGTAATTTAAGGTATACAACATGTTGATCTGACAGATGTATATATTATAGTATGGCAAGAGGGGTTTAATGACATTTTACTTCTTCCCATAATGAATAATGAAAACTATACAGAGATGTAGTCTTTTGTGACTTACAGTGAAAACCTACACCTACAGGTCTTTTCACATCAGTAGTAATCACAAGTTGAAAAAACATGTCATTACAGCCATTAATGTCATTTGAGGATTTGTCTGTGGCCTTTAGCTGGGACAAGTAGCGGGCTACAAGAACCTATATTAGGGGGTGATGTTGGAGAATTATAGCAACCTGTGACCCAGATTAAAGATGATCGCCCTGTGTCATTCAGAGTGTGCACAGCCAATAGCCTTTCCTTCTTCAGTTACTTTGGCTTCCAAGGAGCTTCTAGGCAGTAGACTTGAGTTTATAGGCAACAGATAGTTCCTCTTCTGTTATCAGATAGAACTTGATGTCCTCTCACCTTGGATAGGTCTTTATTCTGCCAAGGTGAAGTGTGTCAGTTTCTGAAACATCTTATGCTCTTCCAAGACACCCCCCACCAAGTCCAATGATAAGTGTCCAAGTCTTTGTCATGTCCCATGAACAGACTTATCAAGCTACCAAACCAGATATGATCCTTAAATTAGGGAATGAAGAAGAGCCATGGAGAAGAGAAGATAAAGTACAGCATTAGTGCTTTTCAGGTGAGTGAGCAACTGAGAACACAAGACGTAAGATCCTTTAAGGTAAATCACCTGGCCTCAAAAGAGTGACCCCTTCTAAATGTGTTTAACAAGGCTAAAACTTTGAAGGTCATTAGAAATGCCTAACTTATTGATGAGACTCTTTCAAGGAAGATGAGCCTCTTTCTCTCTTTTTGGATGGATCCAGTGTTCAGTAGAATGCTGTCTTTGCAGCATCCAGGCTTCCTCTTGTTTTCACCTGATTAAATAACAATTCTTCCCAATAATTCTGGGATATTTGGCCCACTGTCCACATGGACTTCTGTGGGCCATGTGAGGTTGTAAAAAGCAAGTTAGAAGGTGGGACTGCTGACCAGAGTGGTGGTGCCTACATAGGATATTCAAGCCTTGAGAAGGATCAGTGTCTGTTGCATGCAGAATTAGAGAACAAAGTTAAGAAAGGGTAACTTATCCCTAAGTGAGAAGCTAAGGATCCTTCATTCTAATCAGCTTCCCTAGATATTTGTTCAAGAGTTAAATTAGTGTCTTTCCTTGGTAGTCATAGTCTGTGCCTAATGGATAGACCTTGTCTGGGCATCTTCTAAAATCAGCATGAAGCTTGATCCTTGCCTATTTCTGTCATTTGTTCACAGTGTGATGCCATTCATTTTCATGGCCTTAGCAATACTGATTATATGCTGATGGTTCCCAAGTTCCTGTCTACAGGCCAGACCTTTCCTTATCCCCACAGGTTCATCTGGCTATTTCCCTTCTGCACATGGAGATCTAATCGCTACCTCAAATTTCACCTCACTCTTGGTTCCTTTTCTCATACCACAAATCTAATTTACTAGCAAGTCTTTTTCTTATATCCCAAGGCCCTCCACTCCTTTCTGTAATGATTGTTTTCACTCAATCCTTAATGTCCATGATCTCTTGCCAATATTATTATTATTTTCTTGAAAATGCTCACTTTTTATACTTGATTCTCTATATAATAACTATATTTTTGTTTTACTATACTATTTTTATTATTAAAAGAAAGTAACGGAAGTCAGTGTTTCCATTCCCCTCACCTTGAAAGTTTATAAACAAAAGTAAACTTCAGAAACATCTGGATTTTTAAAAGCATCTGATTTTGACAGTTACCTGGGTAGGAAAAGGGGTATAGAAGAAAAAAGGGGTATATAGACATGCTTTGTCCATACAGAATGAATAATCATCTGTGTTGGAGGATGGAAGGAAAGATCTAAAGTATAATCTAAGAAAAATGCTATATGACATAACAAATTTTTACCAGTTTTCA